GGGCCAAATGGGGTGGAGCGTTGGGAGCGAGGAATATGGAAAATTGGGAACCCGAGCGGACTTGCAATTATGGGTTCCACGAGAAGGGCGATTTCTTCGGTCAAGGGGAACCCAATTCTTTTTGTGAATGGGGCGGAGGTGTCTGGTCTGGGTGGATGTTCCTGCGAGTCGGACCACCGAAGCCGAAAATGTTCGTTTAAGGAATCGCCATGCTTCACTCGAATACTGGCTGTTTCGCAATATACGACTCGGTGGTGCCCATGGATGAACAATTCGGACGTCGTCTTCGGATAGTCTATCGAAGAGATAACCTAGCATCGTGCGCTTTCATCCCGCATACGAGTTAGTTTTCGCAGATCCAAGTTCAGGACACTCTGGAACATCCAATCGAAAGCGGACGCCACGAACCCGATTTCCCCTTCCATTGGCATCTCTGGTATATCCTACCATCTCGGCGAAACGGACATCGCGCTTCCCGGAAATCGAGTTTTCTGCCAGCCACTTGATGCCCAGATAGCTCTCTTTTGTGGCTCCGATTGTGCGTAGTACAGCGCCATCGATCACCATAGGGGACAGTAGTTTCTGGTAGTGAACGAAGTCTGACGAGTTTACTGCGTGGTGAACACCCACGATGTCCCGGTAATTGCCTTGGACACGTCCGAAGGTGCGAAAGGACTGAAGTGACTGAGATTCTCTTTGAACACAATCGCCACCAATCGTTTGACGCGTCCAGCTACTGCTTCGGTTGCGCTTGTTGTACGTGTGTCCTCCCAAGGTGGACCTGTCGTTTAAGTTGCATGCTGTAGAGCGTGCGGTCTTCTCGAGGGTCGTAGCCCAAGATGACGTTGAGCTGAACGGATCGGGCCCTCGCAGCTTGAATGTCTTGAGCTGGCCAAGTGAACTAACGAAGCGCCAATCCGAGTCGAGCTCGTTCTCCTTAGCAACCTGCACCGAGCGAGCGAGCATGGCGTCTTGCACTTGCTGTGTCATTAAAGTCTCGAGCATCCCTGCTTGATACGCCGAGAGTGACACTGGTGCAAACGCCTTGGAGCTGGAAGTCGCCATTGTACTGTTTGTTGTAACGACGTCGGAAGTTCGAAAATGACAGGTTCAAGCCGCCATAGTGGTTGGTAACTTTAATCTGAATATTTCACTGCCATAATTGCCACTACACTCAATAGAGAACTTTAGTTTCTGGAATATATCGTCACCTTGGAATAAAATCTTGCAATAAAATCGTACTTAAAACGTAACTTGCATATTGATATACCAAAAGCTTGTTCCAGTTGGAATACAGAGATATTCCAGTGCCATAGCTCAGCGGATTCCTGTAAAACCCTATAACCTGATAAACTCGACGTCAGTCTAGGTGATATCGCACCAATTGCGTGCGGCAACCTTGGGCAAAGGGAGTCAACCAACCTGCAAAATCTCGGCGCCAGCCACGACCCCCCGCGCGACTCCAGGTAAAAGCCGACAGAAGCCCCAGAGCATTGGACAAACGCGCTAATCAGCTCCTTACCTGGATACCTTCAGAGACTACAGTACGTGTTCATTCCGATGGTGTCACCGGACAACGTGTCGCTAACTACAACGATAATGCAGTCAGACGTCGAGTTGGACGGTGACGAGCCACAAGTCTTGCAAGTCGTGGCAGCGCCACCCGTACGCAGTGGTGGAGGCGATGACGAGACCCTCTGCTCAAGCGACTGTGTCAAGTAAACAAGAGCGAGAAAGCCCGCAAAAAGCGCATCGCGTACTCGGTGAAAGCAGACTGCATGCTCATGAACGAGGTGGTTGGTGATGACGGGATCTTCTAGCTTCATAGCGCCTCGAAGCCGGAGCGGTGGGTCGAAATTACGGAGCGTCTGGGCTCAGCGCTGAGCAAGGAGCTGTCTGCTGGCGGTGTACGCAAGCACGTTGACAAGTTGAAAAAAAAGAGTACCGATCGAAGCGCGCAAAGGAGCGAGCCATGTCAGGTATGACTTATGCTACGGAATTTTGTTCGCTGGTTGTGTGTAGACTACACCTATGTATACCGCAGGCCAAGAACCACATAAGTCTGTCGACGAAAACGAGCTGGAGCGCTTGGTGGAGGTTTACGTTCAGAAGAAGGACAATGAAACCTTGGTACAAAGCAAGCGCACCGAATCCAAGACCAAAAAGGTTGCCATGACAGGTCCTGGTGATGCATGAACTCTGCTGCGTACAGCGCGGCGGCTTCGGCTTCACATCCCATCGCGTACAGCGCTAAGATGCGGAAGCGCGCTTCCTTCTCGTCGGCATCGCATTTCTCCCCTGTTCAATTTTGTAGTTTCTTACCCTAGCCTCTACGGCTATGGCACAGTGTACGGCAACCTGCCTAAACTTCAAAGTGTACCTTTGGAATATCACTCGAGCAAGAAACTGGTCCCATATTCCAGTAAAGTTTATTCCAGAAACTAAAGTTCTCTAATGCTTAGTTTTGCGACAGCCACATGTCCCTCAGCACATTAGGGAGCGGAATATTTCGCGCCAAAGAATCATTATACACATGGAAAACGCTCCCAGGCTCGGCTCATGTACCGTATTTGAGATCTCCTACTTCAGACCCAATATTTTTGAAGTTGTATTGTTGCAAAATACACAAGATCTGTACATGTACCGACGCATCTCTATCACGTATTATTTAAACAAAACAATTTAGTTATCAAGTTATTCTTCGGGAACTACGAAGTTTTCTGTCGTGACGCGTATCCACAGCATGGCGCACTACGGGCACTTCTTCCAGCAACCGTCGTAGCAGCTCCCAATCAGGTTCCCTCCACAACCGAAAGCTTGTAGGCGTATGAAATGGCAACGCGCTTGAACTTCTTGGGAGGCTTGCCAGTGCCAGAAATACGGGTTCTCCCTTTCCGTTGGCCGTGAGGGGAGTGCGCGCCATTGCGAATTTCTGGGTGGATAGTTACAGTTTAGCACGTTTTTTGTACTCTGAATTAGGAGATCTAGACTTGT